TTGATAAAAAGAGGCCAATTGCTCCTGACTTGTGAAACTGTGACAAAATCAGATAAATTTAAGGAAAATAAAACTCTTTCTCAGAAGGTTTCCCACAACACAAGGTCAAACATGCACCAAAAGGACACTTATAAGCACAGTGAGAAACTCTTGGCAGATTCAACAGTCTTATCTCTGTCAAGTCAAACCAAAAATAGGTGTCCCCAAATAATTTTAGCAACAGATAGAAGGAATTTCTTTTTCCTGTTGAATGTGGTTGTGATTCACTGTATTTACCCAGAGACTTTCCCCACAGAGTGGCTTCCGCAGACCAGCCATAACAGTCCATGAAAATACAGGATCGGGACATCAAAGACCTTCTCGAGATTATTCTAGGCAGAAGCATGAAATAACACTGTGACAAATGCAACATGCATGGCAGGACACAATGTCCCTCATCCGTTTACTTTCTGTTCTCAATCAGGTTGCTTATAAACGTTCAAAATAAAACCAGGCCGCTCCCTGGAATGTGGCTTCACAGTTGAGCTGGAGCGTCACACAAACAAGTCAACACTTTGCACCACAAACACATTTTTCTGTCCTTAATGAGTCAGGTGGTTTCATTCAGAACAATCAGACTGGATTGTATCAATGGCAGACCTAGAAAATCAGTAAAAACATAAATACTCAAATCTCAAATTGTGCTATTTCTAATACAGTGTGGCCAAAATTAACACAGTTTATTTTAATGCTGTACCTGTGCCTTTGTCTCAGTGTCTTCCTACAACACACAAGTCAAGGGACAGTCTTTTTCCCCCTGCGTCAGGCTTATCATTTTGCACTCCCCTTGCAACATTATTTATAGCCTGTTGCTGGATGATATTGTAGAAAAATGTATTACAATACAAGGATTTCATATTAGTTGACATTAATAATTATAATTATTGATTAGCTTTTTGTTTTAAATATCTGATATACTGCCAAACTGGTGACGTGACCTGTCTTTTTTTTTTTTAATGCAAAATTTTCCCTCAAGCTGTTACTCTCATTTTCTCCCTTCACTCCACGCCACTGTTTTTTTTTTTTTTTTTTGGGCGTTTTTAGACCCCGGGGCAAAACCAGAAACTGCTGCTGTGCAAGTTACTCATCAGACTGTTGCTAGGTAACGAATGAGCGAGTGAGTTACACTTTGTTGTTGTTGTTGTTTTGTTTTATGTGAAAGTGAGTTAGTCGATGCCACCCACCTTGCTTAGCTGGCAGTTAGAGTTTGAGCGGCTAAAGTTTTCCTCAGGGTTATTTCCTCAGAATACAGTTCAGTGAAATTATTCATAATTTTCAATAATGGGCATATTATCTATTGACAACAGAACTTTTCCACATTTTATCATGGTGCAATCACAAATTTTAAAATCTCTATTTTTGTGTCAGGTCAAGACAAAGTAGTCTAGAACTGTGATACAAGATCTTCTTTTGCATTCTGAAAAGTGTAGCATGCATTTTCATTTAGGCCCTACTTTTGGAATTCATCTGTACCAGCTTTAAACATCACTACATAATAAGATTTTGAACCATTCTTCATTTCAAAACACCTGAAGCCCAGAAGGCTCTTAAGTCCTCCAACGGACTTCTAAATGGGATTGAGTCTGGACCAAACACATGCACATGCTCTGATTTGAGCCATTCAACTGTATTTCTGACTGTAAGGTCATAGACCTGACAGAGGGCGAACCTCTCCTTCAGTCTCAAGTCTTTTGTAGCCTCTACAAAAGACTTTGTTGACATTCTTTGTTGAACGTCAACAAAGAAAATCTGTCTTTGTCTCATCAGACCAAGGCAACATTTTTGACACATTTACTGTGTTTTCTATAGCTTGTGGCAAACAAACAGGACTTAGAATAGCTTTCCTTCCTTCAAAAAAGGACAAATTTGTCGAGTTCATGGCTAACAGTTGTCCTGTATACAGATCATTCTACCTGACTTATGGATCTCTGCAGGTCATTCGGTGAATGTAATCAAAGGCTCCCTTGGCTGCTTCCAATTAATTATCCATCTCTATGTGTTGCTCCATCAAATACAACTCTGCTAGATCCGTAAGCTACTTTTAAAAACCTGGAATATGTAGTACCGATAATACTCTGGCTCAAACTCAATTGTTGACACAATTACATCAACTATACTCAGTGTTTTCCTAAAAAGTGCACAGCAAAACCCTATTTACCTAATTCCAGTCCTACATGTTGGGTTTATAGAGAGGACAAGTGCTGCATGAATCAGCAAACCGCGATGCCATCATCATCATTATCAACAGTTTAAGCTCGTGTTTGGGAAATCACTTTGAAAAAAAAAAAAAAGCAGTTCATGACCATCCATTCATTAGCTGCAGATTATTCTGAGTCGGCTTGCAGATTGGTAATGATGCAGTCGAAAATTGTGATGAGATTTAATAGGTCAGAATGGGGTTTGGAGCTTTTCCCCCCACAACTCTTATGTGTGTTGGGATGTTGAAAACATTCCTCCAGATCATCCACTCCCTAAAGTGATTTATCCCCGATTTTAAAAAAATTGGAGTCTAAAAATGTAATGCAATGCAAAATGCAAAAAACACTTAAGTTTAGCCAAAGGTAAACCAAGAATTCATCTGACAAAGACAGGAGGAAGTCCACTGGAAGTCCCTGCTTGAGAAAACCATGTGCCTAATTGCTAAAATCAAGAAAAATACAACTTGAACGAGAGTATTTGAGTGCAGAATGGGAACTATTTTGAACAAATCACAGGCTGCAAATGTTAATGGACCATGTTTATGGATCAAATGTTAATGGGTCATGTTTATGTTATAGTGATATTGTGAGAAATGAATGACATTTATTCTTTTGTCCTTAAAAGTATAACAGAACTCATGCGAACAGTATAAAAATGTAAATCAACTTAAAAATAAGTAAACATGCAAAGGAATATCGAAAAACGACAAAAAGCCGCAACTAGCTTGATGCATAAGACTAAAGCACGTTAAGAACAGAGTGGAAATGTCTGAGCTTAATGCACAGCACCATGTGTGGAGAAAACCACACATGGTGCTGAAGAAAAATTTATTCCAAATGGACTTAATAACTAAGCCGATATTTTGGAGTCGCCATCACAAAGCTCTAATTCTAGTGTCATAGAAAATTTAAGGCTGAAGCTGAAGGCATGTGGGAACGAGGCAGCATAAAAACCAAACTCGGTTATGTCAGGGCTGTCAGGAAGAACGGGCAGAATTCCACCAAACTGATGGAAGAAGCATAATTATGTAAGGATACCGAGTCATTCAGTTTAAAACACAGTTCTACCCAATGCTAAGGAAACACATGTAAACGCCTGAATTTGAAGAAAGATATATATATATATATATATATATATATATATATATATATATATATATATATATAAAACCAAAAACATGATTTATACAGAGAATGTAAATATCTGGTTTCATGTACAAATGCAAGTACTTGAGTCGTACAAAGAGGCGTTGGCCATGTGTTCCAGCAAGGAGGGGATGGATGCTGGCAAGCCGTGCTGGAGCAAAAATCGGAAATCAAAACCTAAAATCTGTGTGGTTAGAGTTGTAGTTGCAGCTTGTTTGGGTTCTTGTTTTGCAGTCACACAGTTGACAGCTTTTGCCCTTTGCCTTTTTCCATTTTAACTTTTTCTTCTCAATTTTTCCAACAAATGTGATTTATTTAAAGAAACATGAGCAAGGCTGTGGCTTTGTTTCATGAGAACTTATTTCAACTGTAAGGAGTCTGCTCATAATAAAAGATAAAACAAGTTTCTTGCCAATCAAAATGGAGTTCCGTCTGGAAGCAGACTTTAGTTTGAAACATCTCGGGTGCAGCAAGTGTTTTTTTTTTGTTTCCCTCCCCCGCTGCTCTTGTTATCTTCAGAAGCAGAGAGCAGTTGCTGTAATTCAGTTTTAACAAGAGTTTTTGGGGCTTTTAACATGCTGTCTGCAATGTAATTAGTGTCTATAGCTAACTAGTTCCTAGCAGGCAGTTTTAAACACTTTCCATTGCTGCACACCACAAGATAAGAAGCAAATGCAAAAAGAAAAAGTAACGTCTGTTGCACAAAGCACACACGCTGATTTACAGAGCCTGAAATGTTCGTTGCAGGTGCTCTAGGAAATCTCACGCTATCAAAGTGAAATTTCTGACAGATGAAGCATTTGCAGGTTTCAAAGCTGGGAATGATACAAAACCCAAACTGGAGTTCACCAAAGTGCTCTCAGGAGAAACAAAAATGGAAATAAGAATCGATGGACATTATTACAGATGTGAGGAAGAACGAGTTTCCATACGTGAGAGCGGGAAAGACAGAATAAGATAGTATGTCTATGTGCATGCAGAGGCATCTGGTTTTGATCAGCTTTTCCCACTGAACTGGTTGTGTGACCACACACACACGCATACACACACGCTCACAGCGGAGGAGTCAAATGTGTCAGTGTGTTTAATGAAAGCGGGGTGACATCTGCGAGCCGTCCGTCTGCGTGCAGCTCCGAGGAGTTCTGCATGTCTGAGCACAAACAAAGACACGCGAGAAGGTGAGAAGATGAGAAGATGACAGGGAGCAGCACACTGCGATGTTGTGCTGCCGGATGATGCGGGAGAAGTCAAATAAATCTAAAATGAAAACCGTCCTCCTCAAAACAAGACACTTAGTGGAGACAGACAAATATTTGTGGGTAAAGTAGCTGTCTTTTCCCATGTGTTGAGCTGGAGAATGAAACCGCCGTCAGTGAGAACACATTTACACATGCGCAGGAATGCCGGCCGGAGCCAGGTTTGTTGGGTTAAGCACTTCACAACCACTGATACTTCGACTCACTAATGTGTGGCATGAATGGAGAACACATGGCAGCGACGCCCTGGAGGATTGCCTTGGTAGCAATTTTTTATTTATTTTTTTTTTTTGCTGCAGAGTGTCTGTAAGTGACTGCTGCCTCTCATTTTTCAACACTAATCTGCCAGGTCTGTAGCTTGTGAGCCTCAACCCTTGTCCGCCGGAGCCACAGATGTATGCTAACTAGCAGCAGAAGCGTCCCTTTCTCCCCTCTAAAAAGGTTTCGCTGAGGCAGCCCACCAAATGCAACAGCCCATACCAGACGAGTGCATCATCTCTGTTTGGAAAGAATGAACACATCGCTTCCTAATGCCTTCAAAATGACTGCAGGTATTTGTGAGAGAGTCTTAGATTTGCAGCATAACCAGTTCTCAAACTGCACCACGATGCTCTGCGGGCGAACCTTCCCTCAGCTGTGACATCCACACATAGGAAGAGGCATAACAGCAGTTTGTAAACACTCGACTTTGTAATCACTCCTAATAATAATAACAATAATAAAAGATTTGCAGTGAAAACAGAGAAAATTACTTTCCCATCATCTTGAAACAATATCTGACAAGGATTTCTTGCTCATAGCATCTTGGAAGTTGCTTTTGGGTCCAGTGGCCTCTGTTGCAAAAGGGTCAGGACTGTTTGTTCCTTTAGCAGTTAGTGGCCTATCTTGGTGGTTGCTCTGATTAGAGTCCAGCTGAAATCAGACAGCAGGCTCCAGCATGAAAACTCTAGGGCCACTTTGGAACCCCTTAAGAACATGCCCTTTAATTGTTTTTGTAAATGTAAGTGAATGAGTGAATGGAAACTATGCAGAGCGTGGCCTAGATCTGTAGGAGGAGGATTGTGTCCACAAAGGACCAGAGGAGTTTTGACCGTGAGGCGCAGGTGAGGCTTCAAACTGTGGCACCTGAACTGAACTGTGCAGGTGCACATCATTACGTGACCCATCAGTGGAGGTCAGAGTTATATTTACATACATGACTCTGTCATATGGAATTTAAATAACTTGATGCCAACACAACATAAAACGCACGACACCTTTTTACTGTTGTGTGCGAGTGGGGAGCACAACACCTGCACAGCGGTAGAGTCCAAGTTTTTAGAAAGTGACCTGGGTTAGCTTACTCTAGGGCTTGGGGTCTAGAGCTAATTAGCCAATTTGATTCAGGTGTGTTTGACCAGAGACATAGCAAAAGGTTACAGGTCACCGGTCCCAGAGCACTGGAGTTACTCAGGGTTACTGCAACAAAAAGAGGCTCTGTCCAATATCAGATTTATGAGGATCGGTTTGACTTTCATTCAGCCTGTGAACTGTTGGAACATATCTATCTACTTGTAGAACTGCTGATTGGCTCGTGTTAGTTTGGTTGACCGGTCCACATGTGTTCTGAAAGAGACTTACGACAGTTTTCCCTCGGAGTACGGAGAGCCGATGGAAGTTGCAAGGACTACCCTGAAGCAAGCGTTGTACTCCCAGTGGGTTGTACTCTGCCAAGATTGCGTCTCGGTGCTGGAACCGTTTGTGGTGTTCAGGAACTGCATCTGCAAGTGTCAGATTGTCATGGAGATGAACATGCCGGTTGAGTGAAGTTGCATTTTTTTTTTTAATTTTGCACATGATGTTGTTTTGTTGGTATCCTCGAGAATCAAGCAATGCTCACAATTTCTGTTTGGAACAGTTTGATTTTTTTTTTTTATTATGTGACCCAAAGTAACCACATTTATATGCAGTAATCTATGAATACAGTTTTTGCACTCTGCATTTGCATACCATCATTGTAATCATAATCCAGAATACCGGCTGCTTCTTTTGTCACAGACTTTGAACACTGCAATGTGGCTAACATATGGGATTTTACTAAGATGAAAGATTTCTAGCTATGCTTAATTGGCATCCAATTTTGGGATCCTTTATCTCTATCGCAGTTTTATTAATCACCTAAAATTTATTGTGTTCTTGCTCTAATTTCTCCTTCATATAAGTGAACTTTAATTGACTCCTGTTTGATTTTGATGTACAGCTGAAAAAAGATTGATAAAATAAAACAATCAAAGTTGTTTCAACTGCAACTTTATAGATCGTACCGTGGATATTGAATATAATGCCGTAAGGACAATCTCTTCCGCACCTCGTATTTCACTCAGTATCCTCCACTATCACGTCACAGTGTATGTCTGGCTTTTTTTTTTAAATCATCTCAAATACATTTCTTTGAATACTTCTTGTCTCTTCCTCTTCCTGCTTCCTTCCTTTCCCTCACCTCTGCATCTTCCCTGCACTCTGTCCCGGTCAGCCTTTCATTATTTTTACCCACCAGAATGTGGAGCAGCTCCACTTCATGCGAACGGAAAACCACAGGTTTTGTTCTGTCTGGCTAGCTCCCAGCATCAGCCCATCCACCAGCATCTCTGTTCAATGGAAACAAAAACAAGAGGATGTAAAACATTAATACTTTTGAGAAGGTATCACAGGACATACATGGTTTAAATCCATCATCTCTGAGTCGGAGAGAAAGAGAGGACAACACAGTGCTGCCAGAAACCAGGAAACAGAAATCTTCTTTTCAAACTTTAGTTTTCTCCGTGCCAGCTCTCTCGGGATGCTGGCACACTTCCATCGCTTTCTGAACTTCCTAGCAATGCTTACTAAGGAGTCCTGCCCCTCAACCTAGAGGTGACCATAGTGTTATCCTGACTGAATCTGAGGTACAAGGTCCGCTGATCAGAAAATATATGACATTGTTGGCATGGCTACATAAGGCCTTCATCAGGTACATAAGACCAGATAGGTAGCAAGTTTTTACAAAGGGAGTTCCCACCAATGTCAGCTCAAAGTCAGTTCACGCTGTGATTATCAGCCATTATATGACGTCTTTCAGATGAAAAGAATAGTGCGGCAAATGTTAAAATATCTCCAATTATTAGAGAAAATCTTGCTGTGTCTCCTGCAGTGAATCACATCTGATTATCATTCTAAATCTGAACATCTGTTCATCTTTTCCGCTTTTGAGAGTGAAAGAAGGAGTTCTAACATCTGCGCCTCGCTGCCTACTTATTGTTTTATTGACATCTCTTTTGGGCTTTTTGGGGTGAGGATTCTGCCATGTTAGCAAATCCCATCATCTAGCATCTTCCACAGTACAGAGTGAGTTACCAACAAGATTTAAGTCAGTTTGATTTTGCTTCAGACTTTCCGGAGGATTAAAAATTAGCTGGTTTAAAAAAAACCTGAAAAAAAAAAAAAAAAAAAAAAAAAAAAAAACCTGAAACAATCTTGTGATCGATTGAAATCAAGTGGCTCAACATGTATCCATTATTTGGGCTGGCAAAATGAATATTTTTTTAACCTCTAAAACATTTCCTTTGAATGCACCTCTAATGACTGGGTTTTCAGACAGCTGTAAATCCACTTAAAAGTGCTAAGAAATGGTTGTCCTAGCAAATCAATGAAACATATCAAAGCTGAACCACGAGCAGATTTCATTTTATTGTTTTGTTAGTGGGCTTTTATTTGTCTAGTGATTACATGAGCAAAGTATTTGCTGTTCAGCTCTGCTCATGCCAAAAAATACATAACAATGAAGAAGGAGAGACTGAGAGCGAGTGGTCAAACAAAATGAAAAAAAAAAAAAACAAGAGGTTGTATCAGTTTTTCTAAAAATACATCACATTAGCGAGGCAGACAAAGCTCACACTTAAAGGAGTTACAGGTTCATATAAAAAGGGATATGTTTTTCCATGTCATGTCTCATTTGCTTATTCAACAATCAAAATCAGACCCACTAGGCCGAATAATTGAGTCCAGCCCTGCAGAGTCTGTGTGAGAAAGAGAAAGCTGAGTTGATTTATACGCCGTAGCATTTATAATCTTTGAAAATGCTATTTAGTTGCAGCAGAAGGAAAGGATTCAATTAAAATGCACGCTTGTGAACTATTACTTCACACAATAATGTGTCTGTGGCCTAACAAGAAACGCAACATAACAAGCGCCGCTCACTTTCTTCCCTGCAGCCCTACTTCGCTTTCCTCTGGGAGAGGGGGAGGGGGCAAGATTTACAGTTTGGTGAAAGTCATAACAGTAAATGCCCTAAAGGACAAGAAAATTGAACTGTATCCTTGTTATGACTTGATTTTCCTCCACTTTGGTCTTTATTGCAGAAGATTAATAACCGAGGACCTGGAAAAGCTTGACTGTTCTACCTCCCACATCCAAAGAAGAATAAGGAAATAATTAAGACACATCAAGGAGCTGAATCATTGCTCTGAAGATCTAGGAATCAATCCTGAAAACATGCTGTTGTACCAATATGCACAGTGCCTTGAACAGGTTATCATTTCCCACAGTTCTTTATGTTCCAACCACAAACTTATTTACCATAACTTTTTTTTATTTTTTTTTTGCTATTGCAAACACAAAGCTGTACAAAATTGTGACATACTAGATAAATGGGAGCCATCAGCTGAAGGATTGGTAGCTTTTTTTGGGATGGATACAAATGAACACCAAAAAATTAAAAAATAAAATATTTTCAAATCATTTAAAAAAACCATGTATCATTTTCCTTTCACTTTAGAGTTATGCACACACTTTTGAATTATTATTATTATTATTATTATTATTATTATTATTATTATTATTATTATTATTATTATTAGTAGTAGTAGTAGTAGTAGTAGTAGTAGTATTACTATACATTCAGAAATTTAGAGCTGCAGCATGGCAATATGGGAGAAAGTTCAATGTGTATGAATCCCAGACACTGAAAACTTTATCTATATATTTTGATGTATGTTTCACATTTCTCATCCTCACACAATGTTGGAGCTGCAACATTTATGTATATAAACACAAAGTTAAGCACAACTTCAGACAGAAAGTGAAGAATAGTACAATGCCAGAGAGCTCTCTCAACTGGTAACATTCCTCATTAAAGTCTTCACAGGTGAGGTGTTGCTTGCATAAAGACACGTTCATAAACCTGTCTTTAAACCTGTTCTTACATTAATAACCACATTATGGGGGCACTCATTTGGAGCACTTTATGCCATGAATAAATATTGTGCAAGCAAAGACTGGATAATGCGTGGATAATGTGTTGGGAGTGATTGAGTGAATGTGGGAAAATATCATGGAAAATATTAGCAAATCGGAAAATGTTACAGGTAGTTGGAATAAGAGAGATATTATAACAATATAATGCATTCTGAGCTTGTGATGACAATTCTTCCAGAACAACGTGAAATCTCACCCTTTACACTCTCATTTGCTTGTCCAGACATACACACACAAACCAGGGTGAGGATTGTTTCACTAATGAGCTGGTTTGGCCGCGGTTGAGTTATGGGCATGAGCGCATGGTGGGACGTCAGTGCAGTCTGGGAGAGTGTACTGAGTGCACCTAACGCCACGCGTTGCCAAGGTCCTGTACTGACTGATTTCTCTGCCTGGAGCTGCCTTCTAACAAGGCAGAGCTGACACTGGTGCCATGACCTGACCACAAGCAGTTTGTAGGAAATATTCACATCCGTCACATAAGGCTGAGCTACAACCGGCTATATAAACTGTAATCACACTCCAAGCCGTTGAGGTAGAAAGTGTCGCACCAAACTTCTCAGAGGGCAGTTTAAAACGGCTGGATCCAAAAAAAACCCCCGAGTAAAAAATGGCACACGAGACAAACATTGTATTACGCTCATGTTGTTTCCAGGTAATTTTGGTTTTGTCTGTTTACAACATGTAATATTTAAAAGAACGTCATGAAATGTTTGGTTTGATTGTTGCTACAGATTGATCTCTCTTTTTAAGGCCTCAGAGAGGAGAATCGTGTACCGATGCCAGGGCTGCTGATTGCACCCTTAGGTCCTCCTCATTGATACATCACAAAAAGCCAAACTAACAAACTAAAACCAGAACTACTGAGTCCCAGGACATTATTACAAATCATAATTAAGTGTAGAAACAAGATTAAGTGCTTGGTAAACTAAAAAGATTTGATGATTTACGTGTGCAACAAGTAGCCCCTGAATTTATCATCAATCACTTTGATGCCGCTCAAGGTTTGACAAAGTGCTAATATTCAGACTGTTGCAATTCTGCTGTGTTCTTGTCTCATAAGCTCCCATGGAAAAGTTTGTCAGAAAGTTTGGAAGACATAAAAAGAAAGACGGGGGTTATAAATCTGTAACCACATCTGAAATGAAATATAAAAGTGACAATTGTCAAACAAGGGTTTCTTAACCCTTGTTTGTGGCCATTTAATAATCCTTAACCGACAGATGTGTTTTTTAGTTGCTTCGGAATTAAGGCAAACGCTGAATGAACATGAAATCCCAACCACATAATACAGTCGTCTTATGTTGATAAGCACATTTTTATGGGTGAAGACTCGCAGAGGCAGCATTATAAAACAAAAAAGTAGAACATACTTCAGATCAAAAGAACAGCCCATCATTGCACATGGGCAGTATGCGAGATGCATCAAGGACACATTGTATTTCATTCATTTTTGACCCATTCACTAATTTAACCTACGTTTATGATTAAAAAATAATAACAGAGCTACCATTGATTTGTACTTAATTGGCTTGTCTACATTAGCGTTGCGTAAAGACCTTTAGGAAATTGGTATAAATGTTTCTGCGGCAGACCAGGGGATTAGTTTCATGACTTTTTCCATCAAGGTGCTGCGGTCAAATGTCCAATTGATCATGCAAGTGGCCGGCTCAGGCTGAACACCGCTAGTTTCTCCAGCTGGGCCTACATCCTCAGCAGCATTACACTCTCTGCCCCACCTGTGACAATAAACAGCTTGATTACCACCTCCCGTCCGGTGACGCCATTTAATGCTCTCTCTCGGATCGTCCTGGGGGACAAAACAACCAAAAATGTATTTATCTCCCATGCATTTAAACAGACCTCTTATTAGCTACATTTTCCATCATGTGTTTCACCTGCAATATCTTTGACTTGGACTTATTAAAAAAAATCAGAAGAAGATATATTCCCCCTTTTTTTGTTTTAACTTGACCAAAATTCCTAAGTCTTTGGGTTCACAGAGTTCCTTTTGTCTGTTTTCCAGCTGCCTCATACTCTACCTCTCATCTTACAGTTCTTCAGCGTGCAATTTCTAAAAATGACTTTAAAGCTCTTTTTGTTGCAAAGGAAGATGGGCATAATCTTCTGGATGCCCAAGATTCTACTTCCATCGTCGGAAGTAGCAAAAATCCTGTCGTAAACATTATTTGGATATTTACAGTCAGAGATCCTGCATGAAAGGATGAAGTGCTGACCCTTTTTCTTGATGACAACTGAAATAAAAATACAAAAGAAAATGTCTTTAAGGTGGCGAAATAACCAAAAGGGCAGCAGATTCCATGGAAAACCCCAAATGGTTGGAAACACTCTCAAGCCATTCTCCTCGGCTGCTCGATCTTCAAATAAACTCAGGAGGTTTTTCCAAAGCTTTGCAGAAGTAAGAAGAGGGAAAAGGGAATGAAACACTGACCTTTAATTTGTCTTTGTCATGCTATGTACATTTAAATTGGTGTTCTTGGAGTGCAACATTACACGTAAAAGTGAACACAGATAGACAATTTAAAAAATGTTAATGACTCATTCCCAAGTGATTCATTCATAGAGAATGTGTGTTTCAAATTACTGAACAGTGTGGAAACTCGCACAATCTGTCTTTTAAGACAACCACAAGCTATGCTTTCTTTTATTTGGCTGTTAAGCAGCCGACTAGCACATGGAAGCATATGAGCACAAAGGAATTATATTACTGAAACGGATGCATGGTTTTTAAAATATTTCAAGATTAAAAACATGAAAAAAACTGTGGCGGACACTTACCTCTAAATGAAATGTTGTGCCTCCAGAAAATAGTCCACCAAAGCCAACGTCCGGTTTGCGTTTTGCCTCCAGGCACATAGGTGACACAGGAAAAATGAAGGAGTTTCTTTACTCGGATGAGACAAAATTGTACTTTTTAACCCGTAAAAAGTGGAATTTAGCACATCACCCTGAAAACGCCATCCTCACCTTGAAGTGCAGTGAAGGTGGGATCATGTTGTGGAAATGCATTTCCTCAGAAGAGACAGAGAAACAGTCTCTGCTGAACGGATTAATGGATATTAAAAAAAAAAAAAAAAAATTACGATTCTACATGACTTTGTTTGCAGAACAAATAAAATAACAGTAAAATATTTTTTTTTTTCATAGCAAGTGTAAAAAAAAAATCCATTGACATGGCCAGATCAACTCCTCACCCCCTTACAACCTAGCTCACAGGTGGAAATTCAGTACTGTATGGTAATTTTTTTTTGATGGCTTCAATTTCATCTCTTTGTAAAGAGACTAAAGTGTAAAAGGAAGACACTACAACAGGGGTACCAGTGTACTCAAACCCCTCTCCAAACAGAGCCCTGTAAAATAAGCTTCCTTTATTGGTTAACTGGGCTCTGCTTTAGAGAAAAGGTGATGATCTCTGATCAGGTCGGGGTGGTTGAAGGATGAACTCTTGTCCACGTCAACAGGAGGCAGGATGTCTCCCTATGGATGTTTTCTGGGAATGTCTTGGTGGGTGAAGAGTAAATCCCAAACCTCCTGGAATGAGTGTATTCCTTCTCATTTGGTAATGAGAGTAAGGATTCTGTCAGATAAGGAGAAGGGAAAAGAAGACGGTTTATAGATGTACTGAAAAGTGAGAAGTCAGACATCATTTAAGTAAATGCAGCTTACATTTTGTATTTTGTATTTCTTCCAATGGAAAAAAAACGAATCTCTAAATGGAAACATAATTTGAAAAATCTGTAGCTTTCCTGTTTTAGGGTCAGCTGGATATACCTATAAATAACTGGTCAAAAAAAGGACTAAATCTTTCCTTTCCTAAATGTCAGGAAATGTCTGTGTTGGGTTCCTGGGTGTTTCCTGTCTGTGGTTGGGGTTGCTGTTTCCCTGTCCATCCTTCAGGGGGCGCCTGGCAGTCATTCCTGGAGGGTGTGGACCAGCTGATATTCATCACCTGCACTGCATGATCTCATTTGGAGGAGCATAAGAGGAGGAGGCAGCCTACACACCAGTGCCAGAGTGTTTTGCCAGTTTTGGAACTCTCACTACAGAAGCTGAGAACCCCTTAGTGAAAATCCAGCGCAGAACCTCTCCTTGTGACGCCGGTGGATTATTGCCCACCGGATGCCCAAGTCCCTGAATCCCACCTTGGTGATCGGATCTCCACGCTCGCTGCCCTCCTCTCTCCGGCCATAACGAAACCCGCCCAGACCTCGTCCGCCCTCCAGAGCTGCCCCACCACCATAAGCGAAGCAGCAACACTCGACCTCAAGTAATCCGGCCAGGATCCTTCAGACCCCCCCCCCCCCCGGTCCGTATCATCTCAGCTAAAGTAAGAACGTTAAGTTTTCTTCCAGCAGTTTACCATTTCCTCCAGTCATCGAACTCATCATACTCTCTCACCCTTAGCTCCAACCAGAAGCATCGAATCCTCTCCGGACC